CCAGCATCTGCAGTTCCTACTATCTCTGCTTTTGAATGTTGTTTGCTGAGCTACAATTAAACGCATTAAGTGACAACCAAATTTTGCCACTTTAGATGTTGAGGCAATCAAAAATAGTCCAGCAACTCAATCAGTCAAATTTAACTCAAATATATTGCAACTTTAATAATTCTGCTTGTACTATTAAATGTTAATCATTTTTTTCTTTCATCCCTTCAACTTGAAATACAGATGGAGCTTGAAAGCCGCCCAATCTATGCTATTATCCAAAGGCAATTAATTTGCTTTGTTTCATAAGCTTCGAGGAAAATCGTTATTTGCAACTCTAAAGCACATACACTTGCAAATGTACATCTTGGTTTCTGATTGTCCAACTGCAAACTTTTGGAAGAGCATGGTAACCAGCTATCTCCACCATGATTATTTTCAAAGGAAACAAGTGTTGAAAGGAAAATAATATTTAGTTAAATATTATACATAAAAAGATAGTGAATTCCAAATTTATTTAACCCAAAACAATGCAAATAGTTTAAAAAGTGTGAAATATCAATGCAAAATAAACTGATTCTTTACACTATTTATGAATAATTAGATATTGGAAATCTGGCACCTCCAGAGTATTGGTACTAGCAGCAGCAGCACAGCCAACTGTGTCATTGCTAGAATTTGTAGAAATGGTTTCATTCTTATCATCGCCTGAGGTCTTTTCTTCCATTTCCTGAGATTCAAAACCCATCTTCAAATCCATACCTGTTGGGCAGCCCATTGCCTGCAGTACCTGGAATAATAAAAAAAAAAATTTAAAAATTGTGACTTCAGAAGTTTAGTGTCTTCTTCCCCCCCCCCCCCCCCCCCAAATGGAGGAACTCAAAAGATTTCATTTAACTATCAGGCCAATTACACAATTGCACGAATCAATTCACTACTACTATTTCTTTGTCCTTGGAAGTTGGCAACACTGACAAGAAATCTAGTCACCTATCTAGTTAATCTGGAATCTCAGAGGTCGGCCTGGTTGGGGTTGTCGGGTCCTTGTTTCAAAACACAAATGGGTTATAAAATAATTCAGCAGCTTTCATGGTACTAACCAAAATTAACAAATTTTCTGAATTAAATTGTGCAACTTGCCATGATGTGTAGACTGTTACTCCATTACCATTATCATAACAAACAGGGCATTAAAATATATTATTCATAAATTTGTGCTTTTTAACAACAGAAACCTGATTATAACAAAATAGTTTGTTGCATTTGAAAATAGGACTGCTACAGTCAACTGGAGAGTATCCAAACAAAGAATATTTGTGATCATTATTGATTCTGTAAACCAACATATAGTTCCATAAAACATTACATTAATTAAGTACAAAAGAGTACTGTTTTAAATTTGTATTTCCTGCTGAAATGGAGCAGTGGATTGATTAAAAAAAAATGATAACTGGGTAACTTTTTTTTATCTGGCTGGTTGAATGCTTAATGTGTCATACCATTCAAGGGTATGGGCATAGTGCATGCAAGTGGGACTAGTGTTAAGTAGTTATATATTTCTGGTGGTACAGAATGGATGGGCCAAAGGGCTCTCTTTGTACTGTATAATTCTATGAATCACTAATTGCATATTAATGAACATGAAGCAGTTCCATACATTAGAATTTTATGCTTGAATCTAGTAACAATTGAGATGGTCAGCTAAAATATAGCCTTGAACTCATACGTGCTCCTGTCACATTTCAACACACATTCTTCCTTTATTGTTCACACACCTTACTGGATTCATTGTTGGAACATGAGAAACTTGGGGATAGGTTGCTAAATCACATTAATTTTTCGGTGTGGCAGTATTTCCAAGAGATACATAGGATGTCTGTCTTTGAGAGAGACCTAGGCCATTCTATATTTGTACGAAAACTGAAGGATCTCAAAGGACCTTAGCCGCTAATATTCAAACCCATAATGAAAGCATTCCTTTGTGAAATTGTTCAGCAACAGATAACATGAATTTAACAGGCAACTTAATTGAATTGATGATTGAATGAAGGAGTACAGGAGAACACACAAGGAACAGCATCAGGCATACCTAAATAAACAACCTGGTGAAACTACAAAAGCAGGATTATCTGGGCGCCAAACAGCTTAAGCAGCAAGTGGCAGATAGAGCGGTCTGTCACAACCAACAGACCAAATCTCAGTCCAGCCATATCCAGCTGTTATTGGTCGTGGACAATTAAACAACTCTCCACAACATTCCCATCCTCAATAATGGAGGAGTTCAGCACATCAATACAAAAGATAAGGCTGAAGCATTTGCAACGATTTTCAACCAGAAGTGCCGAGTGAATAGTCAATCTCAATCTCCTCCAGACCAGTCTTCAAACTGATTCACTCCACGTGTTATCAAGAAATGGCTAGGTACTGTACATTGAAAAAGCTATGGGCCTTGACAACATATGGGCAATAGTACCGAAGACTTATGCTCCAGAACTTGATGTGTGCCCATCCCAGCCAAACTGTTCCAGTACACCTCACAGAGGCATTATTCCCAGGTACGTTCTGTACATAAAATCAGAATGAATACAACCCAGCCTTTTACCACTCTATCAGTGCATTCTTGATCAGTGAAGTAATGGAAGGCATCAACAGTGCTATCAAGCAGTACTTGCTTGATAATAACTGCTTACTGATGCTCAGAATAGGTTCTGTCAGATCCTGACCTCATTACAGCTTTGGTTCAAAATGAACAAAGGAGCTGAATTCCAGAGATGACGGGAGAGTGACTGGTCTAGACATCAAGGCCCCGTTTGATGAAGTGTGGCATCAAGGATCCCTAGCAAAACAGGATTCAAATCGGTATCAGGCGAAAACCTCTCTGCTGGCTCGAGACATACGTGGCACAAAGTAAGATGGTTGTGGTGGTTGAAGATCAGTCAACTCAGAACCAATGAACAAATTAATTTTTTTGACTAGTTGTGAAAAAGCTGATGTTCATTTGAAATACTGAGTCAATACTGCAGAATGTGGGTTATGTAGTAAATAGCCCCACACAAAACTCTTGGTCTCAGCTAGAACACCACGAGTCTGAAAAGAGTAGAAAAATTACAACGTATGTAGTGACCAAGCTATAGTAGTTTCACAATAACATTGATGGAAATGTGAAAAGAAATAGGATGATTCTTGGCTATTAATAAAGTTCAGTGAGCAAGACTTTCGAAAAAGGAATTTCAATGCATTTTTGGCCAGCTCAATATTATATCATGCAAATTGACTGAAGACCACAAATTCTTTCTACTTTACGTGCAAACTTTCACTACCCAGTTTCTTTTAGAATGCAAATATTGTTCATACTCTCGTTCCAAACCAAGTACTATGCCATTTTGTTGGTTCTTAATGCAAGTATCAGCAACAAGAACAGTAGGCAAACTTGTTTTCATATCAATAAAGTAGACGTAAAACTTCTGCAAAATTGGCCCTAATTTGGAACATAATTAGTTCACAACCAGTGTTGAGAACTGCAGATTTCCTCTCACCATGTTAAAGATTATATATAAACTTAATCAGTCTTTTCCACACAAATATTCACACTACACTACTCTGCAGTTTACTGTTGCAGAATTCCTGCGTTACAATTGGCCCAGTTGATGTGGTTTTGCCACTGATCTTTATTAAGGCTTCTAAATTCTGGTTCTGCACTTAGTATCATTAATTCTCTTTCAAGATATGTAGGCATTGCAAGTAAAGACAGCATTTGCTGTCCATCATTAACTGTTGTTGAACTGAATGGCTTTCTAGGCCACTTCAGAGGCAATGACATTGCTATGAATCTGGAGTCACAAGCAGGCCTGACCAGGTAAAGATTAAATGATAAATCCTCAATGATAACATGAGGAAAACAGAGATTCAAAAGAAAAGTCTACTGTTTCGGAAAACTATGAAGAATACAATCTGAAACCCAATGGTTTATTGACATGTTGCATTACCTTCATATTACAACTTTAGCTGAAGTACTGCTATCATTCTCTAATAGCTCATAGAAGGAATATTTCCTGGAGACACTAATCCTGTAAGGAATTTGCAACCTGTGCCTTTTCTATGTCAAGTCGATATTACAATTGGTGACTGGTAAATGAATGAACACTAGGTCCATTGTAAATATGCAAGTCCTCAGCTCACTGCCCAAAGAAAGCAGCATTGTTACCCTACCAACAACACAAATGGATGAATGAAAACAAAACTGCATAACTCCAAGCTACAAAATCTTAGTCAGATAAACAACTAATAATCTAGAATGGAAATTATCACAGTGTGGATTTTCAGGCCCTAATGAAGTCAGGAACAACAGTAAGTACTGGTGCAGGCTAGTGTGCTAGTTTCACTGTTTCTGATGCTGTCTGCTGTGAAGGAGGTAGCCAGGTAACTCTTTAAAAGGGTCTTGGCAATAATAATGAAAAAACGAAGCCAAACAGGATTTTCCAAATCAGCCTTCAGTTCCCTTTCTGAACTGGGGACTGCGTGGGGTTGCATTCCATAGTCCAGAAGATTGAATTCCAGGCAGGCTCTCCCAGTTAGCTTGGTGTGAGTGTAGCAAATGGCTATCACCCACAAGTGCCTAGTTGTTTTTACTTCTTTTTTTACATGGGATTTTTAAAATATATTGGAGAGGACACTCATGTTGGAAGTTATTCATTCCGTTGTTCCTGAGGCCAGAAGACCTTGAAGTGGCATTCCAGCTTCAAGAGCCTGTCTGCTGCTGAACCTCCTCCAAGCCAACTAAGGGGAGCACCAGTCAAAATATCAACAAGTGACTATTTTCCCCCGGGATGAGTTTGAAACCTGGAAACAGTCAGGCTCCTGTTTCTCACCTGCAAAGTGAAAATTCAACACTTACACTGAGATCTTTATTTCAAAAAAAAAAATCAAAGCACTTTGAGAGTCCCACATAGGATAGGAACTTTCCAAATTGAACAGAACGTGATAGTGGAAATATAATCCGAGAATTGTATTTCCAGTGCAACCTGCAGCAAAACTGACTTCCTGAGTTGTCAACTCAAAGATTAAATGTTGACTAAGATGATGTATAACTGTTCCAGCTCGAGTCTTGGGCAGATTTGGGTGAACCCTTAACATTCAGATGCAAGAATTGGTCATTACACCAAGGACTAATTTACCAGGATAGACATAAAAAAATGTATTTTATTAATTTTTAAATGTAGGGACATTTGCAAAATGTACTCGATGGAAAAATTGAGAGATTGATGACAAAATTTAAGCTGTATGACAATTGGGAATAACAGTAATTCATGCTTATTGCAACCCACAGATTCAAACAATGTGAATCAGGTCACAACTGGATGCTAGTTTTGTGAACTCATGGGCTACGTGGCCCAACAGTACCTCCCAATACCTACAACTGGCTTGCGTGCCTAGTGAACATTTCCATTTCTTTGAATTAGGGTATGTGGGGAGCTTCTTTTACCAACTTCTTGGAGATATTTCTGTCAAGATTCAAGCTGCAACACTCTTGTAACCAGGACCCCTCTCCTATGAGATGTAGAGCTGGATGAACACAGCAGGCCAAGCAGCATCAGAGGGGCAGGAAGGCTGACGTTTCGGGCCTAGACCCTTCTTCAGACCCTTTTTCTGAAGAAG